ATTAATGTAAGCCTTTGGGAATTATAGACTAGTATTAGGAACAGTCTCACATCTGTTTGAAAAACATGAGAACCCTTAAATTGGTGCTTTTGGTCAGTGAAAACATATTTTTCTTTTCTCCTTGTGTACTTTTGTGTGGCAACAGAAAAAAATATTTTAACTGATTCAATTGCTGCATTCTCTTAATGTTTTTTTTAATTCTCTCAGCATCAAGGACGATATGCTCTTAGCAGAGTGTCAAGTGCAGTGCCTCGCAGGATAGAGCAACCGGCACTCAGAGAAAGAACTGTTACTGTTAATCAATCTTCAAGGCCCAACACAACTCATACGTTCAGGGTATGTTACAATATAAGTAGAGACATGTCAAGGGGAAGAAACTTTCATTCAGGCCCAGTGTTGATCTACAGAAGGTCTCATTTCTCTCCTAACTTCTGATGTACAGGGGTTCTTGCTACCTGTAGAGAGGAGGATGTTAAAAGTCTTGGGGAGGGTGTGGGACTATTGTATGAGGAAGAATTTTTTTTCAGGTCTAATGTATCAAACTGTTCCTTTGAGGGTTGTACATGTGTTAGAGGTGTGCAGTCTTCGTTTGAGGGAGTCTGTATGCTAGAGGTGTACAGTTTTAGTGCTGCTTGTAGCTTTGTGCTTTGGTAGGATTCAATATACTGGATTAGATCATAAAAACCATCATAAAACCATTTCAGTAGATAAGTGTATCGCACTAGCTAGTAGTATATCTTCCCTTTTTACAGAGAGACACATTTCAGAAGAGATCACTGACTCCTATGGATATTGCTAACCACAGAGGGATGGGTCAAGGATTTTTGACTACAGGTAGGCAAAATAAGAATTACTTGGAAAGTAAAAGGCCAGAAAAATCTATGAAACCATCATACAGTCAAAAAGTGAAGTGCTCAGGAGGAGTCATCTTGGCATAAAAGAACAGGTGTACTTGGCAGGATCTTTTGAGTTTGGTTTTACAGTTTCTTCTCACTTGGTCTGAGTTAGTCCTAACTGATTGGTAGGAATCCTGTAAAGCTTCTTTTTGTTGTTATGACATGGAAGGAGAAGGATTTCCCATCGTCTTGTGTCTCTCTCTCTTTTTTTTTTTTTTCTTTAGTATTTCAGCATGTTTACAATTATGGCAAGAGTAAGTGGTGTACACATGTACAGACTAGATATTTTTGCAGCTGCTAGAGTAGTAACACAGATTTGTGCTTGTGAGCTATTCATGACAAATTTTACTTTAGCCCCCAAATTAGTAAACTTTTTATGCGAAAAAAAGTTTAAAATATGCATTTTTAATAGAAGTATAAAGCTCTCTTAAATTAAAAGAAAAAATCAATATTGACTTGCAACTGTGTCTTTCAGTTGTAATACCGAAAAGAGAGCAAACCCTGTGTGGCTCATTTTGTTTCATTTTTACAATAAAGCTGACTAGCTAGTTCCTGACTTAGTTTGAGTCTTTGTATATAACCCTTACTTGTTTGGAAGTTCCTTGAGTTTAAACAATTATAGAATTGGCATAATTATATAAAAGGTGATGTAAAAATAAGGGTGGGTTAGCAAACATTGATCTGAGCAGACTAGTGGAAGTAACTTACATATAAACTTGGAGTGTGTTTCAGGAATTATGACAATTAACAGTGTTCTATATTTTCCAGGCTCACAGCATCACTACAGATCTGTTCAGAGGAATCCTTCAACCTCAAGAAAGAGATTTCAAATTGCTTCTTAACCCATTTTAGAAAGAAGCAGAAACTCTCTTCACTGAATGACTGAGTGAAGCACTAAATTTGCCACCTAGTATCTTTGTGTAATAAAGACGGTGTGCAGTATGCTGGTGCTTACTGAGCCTTGCAATCTTCAGGATATCTGCATTGCCTTCTTTTAAAATTGTCTGACCAGAGGCTAGATTAAAAATTAGAGCAAAATGAAATAAATGGTTGAGGTGTCTGCTCTGTTTGCAGCATCAAGATGTTGCTGTTGCACTTTCTTCTCAGGCATTCCTCCTTTTTGTGTCTTTCATAGGGAATTCTGTGTGTAGAAGTGAATAAGTTATGTTGAGGCTGTAAAGTCCTGCTCCCACTTTTTTTGTTTACTCAGTGTTAAGGATGTTCTAGTCTATGTAAACATCAGTCATATATAAAATTTATACTTTTAAACAGGAATTTGCAGTACTTCCTCCTTAATCACTGTTTCAACATTTCTCTGTTTTTCTGCTTGTAACAGTTGGTTTCTTACAAATATTGTCTGTCCTTACTTTTTCTTTGTTGTTTAATTCTTTTGTAACGGAATTCATTCATTGCTTTTGCTTACACTGTTCTGATGATCAATAACTATGGGAACTGCTGGGATAAACTTTGTTTACAGGAAATAATTTTTTCCCTGCCAGTCCGAACATGTTTATAGATGCCGAGCAATTGAACCAGCATGCTGACAAGTGTGTAAGACTGTTCCCACTTCTTGAGATTTCTTATAAAATAATGTTTGTTATTGTACAAATTAATCATCTTTTGAAATATGTGAGACTTAAACAAGAAAATATGTACTTAACTGATGAAAGCATCATTTCATACCTCTTTGTGTAGACCCAAATGGGAAGATCAAAGAGGAGACTTGGAATTGTGTTCTGTCCAGCAAACAAAGCACTGATCAGATCCCTGGCTATTCGTGCTGTGAGCATTCAGAGTCAGGGATTCCTCCTTCCATCAGAGAGCCAGTAGTTGAAGCAAATGTGTTTGAAGTGCTGTTGAAGTGTAAAGGAAGGATGAAAAAAAGTTACTTGCCCAAATTGTGCAGTTAAGACTAGTAACAGTTTTTTCTTCTACTTAGGAACTAATACCAGTTCTCCTCACTTTTTATGAATGTTCAAGGATTGATAATCCAAGGCCTAAAGCATTTGTAATGTATATTTCATATCTATACTGTTAATCAGATTTCTTTTTTTGCAAATGGTTTGTAAGCACTGTATTCTTTTGAATACTGGCTTAGTATTTGTCTTTGACTACACTAAGTTCACTCACTGGTGATGGTATGTTATAGTATCTGAGAAGGCAGAATGCTTGAACTTTGAAGTTGCAGAGCAATTTCATACAGTTGCAGGTCAATTTGATGAAGTTTCTTCAGAAATCTCATGTCAAAGATGACTTAACTTCCACAATTCACTTTCCAAAATTCCAGAATTAGTGCTTTCAGCAACATGTCCAAAATATACTTTTGCTATTGTGAGTGCTTCCTCCTCTATTGTACAGACCTTGAAAAGAAAGCAGAGAAGCGATGGCAAAATGTGTCCCTTTCCATCTTGTACTTTGCATTTCATAGCAATGCAGATCTTATGTTGTGAACTAAATGAAAAGATGAACATGCACTGGTCGATTCTGTAGCAACAGAAGTGGTAACCAGTGAATCACTGAGGAGTGGTTCATCATCTGGCGCTTTGCAAAAGAGAGAAGATTGCTGACATCTGTGAAGCAATGGAGCTCAGTCAGTTGATCTCTATATGGAGAGAAGAGCAGAACAACAAACAGTCTGCTAATTACTAGAGCAGCAATGGAATGCTCTCAGCTGGCAGGAGAGAGGGAAGAGGAACGTTTGCTGTCTACCAGAAGTATTTTAACACTTTTCCCTTTTGGTCAGTTTTGGGGCACCTGACAGAATCACAGTCATCTTACATGCTGATAATCATCATATCGTTGACTCATTCCATATTGGAAGGGACCTCAAGGATCAATTCCCCACCCACCACATGGACCACTTGTCCAGACCATCACACATCAGTTTCTGTAGGAGGAGGCTGTGGGAAATCATATCAGAGCCTCTGAGATACCCAGGTAGACAGTATCCACTGCTTGCCCTGTATCAACTGAGCAGGTTACTTTGTTATAAAAGGCAATACTTTGTTGTAAAAGGCAGTCATCTTTGTCAAGCGCACTTTGCTCTTCATGAATCCATGCTGGCTTTTCCTAATCACATACTTCATTAGGCTTGTGACAGCTCCCAGGAGAATTTGTTCTGTAAGTTTACCAGGGATCAGAGTAAGACCGATGGACCTGCCATTTTCTGCATCCTCCTTTAAACCTTTCTTGTAGATGGGATTGACATTAGCCGCCTTTTAGTCTTCTCAGATGTCTCCCGAAGTCCACATCTTCTCGAAGATTATGGAGAGTGGCCTTGGGCCATGTCAGTCAGCTCTCTTAACACCCTTGTTGGGTACTGTCAGAGCCCATCAATCTGTAGGGGTCAAGCGCCTTTAACAGTTCTCATACCAACCCTTCCTTCACCCGTGGTGGGTCTGCGTTTGCATCAGCCAGGATTTTTGTTCCTAAGGCCTGGTGCTGGAAAGGACATAGGTGAAGAAAGTACCTCTACCTTTTCAGCCTTGATGGTGGCTAATTCATCTCTCCTGTTTAACAGCAGGCAAATATTTTCTGTCTGTCTCTGCTTGTTGTTTACATACCTGTCCTGGTTTCAGCTGGCATAGAGTGTATTTTCTTCCTAGTAGCTGGCACAGTGCTCTATTTTGAATTTGGTATGCGAATAATGTTGATAACACTGATGTTTTGGTTGTTGCTAAGTTGTGTTTGTCCTACATCAAGGACATTTCAGTGTCCCATGCTCTGCCAGTGAGGAGATCCACCAGAAGCTGTGAGGGAGCGTGGCCAGGACAGCTAACCCTGACTGCCCAAAGGGATTTTCCGTACCACAGAATGACGTGCGCAGTATATGAACTAGTGGGAGTTGGCTGGGAGGGGCCCATCGCTGCTAAGGGGCAGACTGGGGATTGATCGATCAACAGGTGGTGAGTGATTGCATTATGCATCACTTGTGTTTCTTGGGTTTTATCCCTCTCCTTTTTCTATTTTTATTTTACTTTACAATCATTAAACTGTTCTTAACTGATGGCTTTATCTTTGTTCTGATGCTCCTCTCCATGCCATTGGAGTGGGGTGTCTGCATGGTACTTAGTTGTGTGCTGATAGTGTCTGCATGGTACTTAGTTGTGTGCTGATAGTATCTGAAGCCATGATAGTATCTGAAGATTCTGTTCTTGTAGGTTTTGACATCTCTGACTAATTTCAATATGAGCTGAGCTTTTGTTTTTCTAACTGCATCTCTGCACACCCTGCAGTGCCCAGTTACTTGGGCATAATCATGAATCCCAAAAGAAGGTTCAAAGAGAACTGGATGAGATGTTTGGTAAGATTTCCATTCCTCCTTTGTCAAGATTGAAGAAATGGGATATGCCATGTGGCCATTCAATATGCTTTAAGTAGGTAGAAGTAGTTGGGATGGGTGCTAGAAGGTGCATGAGAGAGTACTGAGAAAGTTTACCAAGCAAAGGGTAGGGTTTTTCTATTTTTTATAGTGAAGCAGTTATAGATAGTCACTAATTTGCTGTTGTTTTGACCCTTCTCCCTTTTGCTTTTTTCCTTAGAAGGATATCAAGTATGGAATGGCACAAATATTCAGATCATAATTTATGCCGTACACAGAAACCCCAAGATCTTCTGTGACGTGGAAGAGTTGAGGCCTGAGCGATTCTTCCCCACAAATTGTAAGGATGAGCACCTGTATGCTTTCCAAATATGTAATGTTGTTGATAGTTTGCATGCATCCATGACTTCATACTGACATTTCTGGTCTCACTAGGGGGTGTTGTGGAGGAATTTTCACCCCCATTTTCCCCTTCAGTCTTGCAATGGTAGGCTTTCATGGTTTCATGGTAGGTTTCTTGGTTTCGTGGTAGGCTTTTCAGCTGAGTGTAGGTGTCAGGGTGTCAGCAGCAGGGCTGCTGCTGGGATGGCCTCTGTGAGAAAAGACCTGAGAAGAGAACACACACGGTTCCTGCTGGTTCTGTGATGGACCCGCTGCAGGCCACAGCTGAGCCCAGCAGCCAAACCAGTGACATCTCTGTGAAAATGTATTTATAAAAGTGTACAAAAAAATGCTGAACAGGCAGAGGAGGATGGGGAGGGGAAAGATAGTAAAGCAGCAGTGCAAACACCAAGGTCAGTGAAGGAGGAGGAGGAAGTATTCCAGGCACCAGAGCAGTGATTCCCCAGCAGCTTGTGGAGCATGCTGGAGCAGGTTTATCCACAAGACCTGCAGCCCATGGAGGGGACCTATGCTGGAGCAGGAGAAAAGGGTGAGGAGGGAGAGGAATTTTTCTCTTTGTTTCTAACTTCCTATTTTTAATTGTGTATAAATTAAATAAAAATTACCAAGTTGAGTCTGTTTTGCTCATGATGGTAACTAATAAGCAATCTTCCAGTCTTTATCTTGACCCGTGAGGTTTTGCATCCTGTTGAGGGTGGGGAGTGAATGGATGGGTGTCTGGCTGCTGGACTAGGCTAACCTACCACAACTTCTAACAGGCTGTACAACCGTGATTGTGTTATAGGCAGGCACATCAAATATGGACAAGGGATTTCCTAGAGAAAATGTTGACACCAAATCTTCTGTATTGCAGGAATGCAGGTAGCAGATTCTTAGTGCTGTTTGTTTCTGTGACCCACATCACAAGTTTTTCCCAATCTTAACCTGCCCCATTTATTCATTCTCCGTGACCTCTAGCTTTCTTCATGTAATGTGTAGCATGCTGCTAAATGCTTTGTTTAAACTTGCTGGAGTTTAGCAAGGAGGAGGCCCTGTAGGATCTAGACAAACAACAAAACAGCGGGCGGAATCTCCACTTGTGACCTTGCATGAGTTATGATCATCCAACTTGACAGTGTGCATTTTCCTTGGCACGTGGATGCGTAAATATAGGTGTGGTGCTTTGGTAGCTACTTAGCCTTATTGTCTATTAATTATGACAACATCGTTGATACCTTATCAGAATTGCTTTACAACAGTAGGCTGTGTTCTGGGGGGACCAGTGGTGGTCTGCTTTGTTGTAAGACATAGCATTATCCTTGTAGGGAAGATTTTGGTTTCTTAGAGAGGAGGCAAACTTTTGTATTCTGTTGGGGATAATTCATTCATGCAAAATGTCTCAAGCGAAGGATCCCGATATGATGGCTACAGAACAGAGTAGTTGTTGCTGTACAGTGAACACCAGGTTGCAGAAACCAAGCAAGGTGTGCTTGGTGGAGGTGGGCATCACAGCAATCAATCTGTCTCTGAAAAACATAGCTGTGGTCTCTGTTTCTCAAATGCTGTTCATCTCCTCTACCTCTGTGAGAAAGGATCCACAGAAGGATTTGAAGCTGTAGATTTTTAGGCTACAGTGACATGAAATTTAGCATCAGGCCCTAAAATGCTTCTCTGAGGACTGGGGAGATCTCTGAGTTGTCCAGCACTGATAATATATTTTGAAATGGAGATGTACTGTGTTATATTTTTTTGTGTAGGTGATGACTGTTGGGGACTACAAATAGCCTGGGCTTTTTTAGAGTAGATTTCTGTATGAAGGTAATTATGTTGTGATGGTGTATGTTGAGAAAGAGAGAAGGTCTTACTAAGAAAAACCTTTCTTAAGAAAAAACAGTTTTTCAGAATGAGCAGTGTACTTCTCTTTTTTTCTTCTGTTGTATCCGACTCATTTTAGCTTTGCTTTGCTTTGGGTTTTTGTTTTTCTTGTTGTTAATGATGATTTTATTGCTTGCTTTATTGAAGAATCCAGGCTGCGTTCTAGGGACCAGCAGAATCCTGTGTTGTCATTTGTGCCTCTGGGCTTACACACCTGCCTTACAGGATGCATGCCTTCTGTCAACATGGGCAGAAGGGCTTCCACTTAGGTAAGAGGCTGAATAAAAGCAGGTTTGCGCTTTCATGTGCATTTATGAAAGCAAAGATTCACCAGTGGAGTGCTTACAGAAATCCAACACTGAGCAAATAGCTCTCTGGAACTTCTCTCCTATGGGACATCTTCCAAGGTTTGCAAGTCTCAGTGACATAATTAGACCTTAAAGATGCCAAAACTCTCATTTCTTCTTTCTTTTACATCTCATTCCAGTGTTGCTACTACCTTTTGTTAGCAGCATCACCATTGCCAGCTGCTGGCAGGATTTTGCTTTCCCTGTGGCTTTTCGCCTTCTCCCTGCTGTTTCACTGTTTCTCTTTTTTTTTTTTTTTTTTTCTTTCCTCCTGCAGAAGGAGTTATCAGGAGTTAGAAACATGGATTTTTGACTCAGAATCACAGTTAACCACTTTAAACTGCAAGGTTTTTTCTAAAGATGAGAGCATAATTACTCAACTGATCTCCATGTTAAAAAGGCTTAAGTTGAACCTCTTCATCCTGCGTCCTTACTTCCTTCCTAGGATGTCACCTGGACAAAAGAGGGAACTGATGGCTGTGTAGCTTGCCTTGTGTGTTAACAAGACAGGGCATGTATCTGCTGCTCTCTGTCACAAAGCATTACAAACAACAGCAAGAGTAGCAAAGTTCGTTTCCAGCTGTTTACTGTACATAAAGATACAACAGTCAGCATTTATGATAAAGTTTTTGCTGGGAGATTGCAGGAGCAAAGTACCAAAATTTAATCCCCTCTACTGCCAAGGGTCATCAAAATCTTATTTAATTTCTGATATTCTGAGCCTTCTGTTTGTGTTTTATGTCTTAGTTGTGTTTATGCTGTTTGTTTATTTACTAAAATGCTGGTGCAGTCAGTGCAATCATTTTTGGCACAAAGCAAACAGTCTGAGTGTGACTGTGGCTATAAGTAGCTTTTGTGCTGTATTCAGAGGGTGAAGTTTTGTGAATTGATTGTGAGCTATGCTGTCTCTTTACCAAACTTCTGTTTTACCACAAAGTTTCTGAGCGCTTTCTTTGAGGCACAGATGCTCAGTGACCCTGCAGCAGTGAGAAGAGACCCTGGGTCCTCCTGAGGCAGGAGCGGCAGCAGTGTATATGGTGGATATGGTACTGCCTCTGTGCGAGCACTTTGCAAGTTGTGGCACAGATGCTGGTACTGTCAGTAGTGTTATTGGCACCCTTTAGCCTATGCCTGAGCATTCAACAGTGACATCAGTAAAGGCCATTTGAGCTGAGAAGCATCAGTGTGCTTTGCAGTGCTGCTCTTGATCATGGGTCTGTATGGGATCTGGTTTGGGTAACTCTGTGAAACCATCAACCCAACTGAAGCTTAAAGCTATTCCCCATCTCACCCTTCAGTCATAGTGTTGGACAGCACTGGAGCAGTTCAGTTCTGTATGGCAAAATAGTGTTCTCTGAGCACCTGAAAACAGATTGAGAAAGATGATACTGAGAAAAATCATCCTTCCCAAATCATCAAAAATGTGTGTTTTCTCTTGACAGTGCTTTATGTTGTTTCCTGCTGAGGTATTGCATGGGCCTGCAAAGAACTTTCTCACTCTTCACTTGAATCAGAGGAGCGAAGTGAGGGCAGGGAAGGAGCACTGTTCCCTCTAACTTCTCTGCCATTAGGAAATGCTTACAGGCAGTCTCTCCATGTGCGTGTTTTTTAAAACTGTTTATTTCCCTGGGAAGAAGCTGCGCCTGTGGTCTTTGTGACAGCTCCGCCTCCTGCTCTCCTGGCCAAATTCCCCACACACTCAGCTTGGTGCAACAGCACTGGCGGGTACAGGCAGTGCCAGTTCCACAGCAGGGATCAAGGCTTGCAGCAGGAGGCTGAGAGGTGATGATGGAGGTTATGCAAGGATCCACAGGAAGACTCCAGCTGCTGCCCTTGGGGGCTGGGGTCATCACACTGTTGTTGACAGTTGTGGCTTTATGCTCCCTGCCCTCCCTGATGAGTTACTGGAGGCGATGGTGGATGATGAAGTCAATCCCGGGTATCAGCCCCTGCTATCCTGTGCTGGGAAATGCTCTACTCTTAGAACGGGGTGGAGAAGGTAAGACCAACTCACGCTGTAGCCTGGCTGTGAGGTCCCTGCACTGTGGGGTTTGCTGGAGGAGCCAGTGCTGGTGAGGTGCTTGTGTGTTTGAGCTGTGGCTGACTGGGGAAGGGGAATGGGAGATCAAAGGTGTGCTGATGCATTTAGGTCTGTCTGGGGCTGTGGGCAGTCTGCAGAGGGGAACTGTGTGAGGAGTGGGCAGTGAAGGGGAAAGGAGAGGAACTGCATAAGTGTAACATTATTATCAGTCAGAGATTAACTGGAAATTCAATCTGACAGCAGCTTCCAGATGCTGCTGCTGGACTCAGATGGTTACAGTTGTTGGTAGGGTGGAGGATGAATGCTGTCAGATGTGTTTTTTCAATGGGGAGGCATGCTGAGGGCTCTTGCAGGAAGTGCTATTTCACAAAGCAGAGCACTGTGTTCTCGTGACTGCTAGCTGTGATCAAAACAAAACTTTAAACAATTCTCTTCCCTCAAGTAAGCATGTGCAAGGGACTTTATCATGCTGAGTTGCTGGGTCACTTTCAGCAATCACAGAATTAGCTGTGACTTACATGTGTTAGATGCAAAAGAACTTGCTGAGTAGTTACAGTACTTCCCTCAAAAGCAAACCTTTCTGTTCTTGCACTTGTTAATGGGACCTTCTCTTTTGCCAGGTACTCGAGAGAGCACTAATGTGCTAGATGTTCCCTTTCCATTTGGTACCTCTTTTTTAACAGGAGCATATTTCTTAAGGAGTTTGTGGTGTGAAAGCATTGATGGCTGTGCTGTCAGTGGCCCAGATGCTTCTGTGTGTGTCTGTATGCTGGTTCTGCTTTGTGTACATGTGTTCCTGGCTGTGCTGCCTAGTATGCTGCCAGAAGAGAGACTGTGCAAGCATGGTAAAGTCAAGGACGAATACAGCATTGGAACAGAAATTGCTCAGTGCTGACCCATGCTGAGACATGGTGCCTCTGTTCACAAGGGTACACTGTCATATCTTTCCCCTGCATTGAACCCCATATCTAAATACAGATATGAGAGATCTTTGGTGGATGTGAGGGCAAGCAGCTTTCCAGGAAGCTGGCTTTGGGGAAGTAGTAGGAGGATCATAGTCAGGATGTTTATACGACCCTGACTGAGGGATGAATCTTCTTTTTTTTTTTTTCTTTTTCCCCCCCCCCCTCTTCTTTTTAAATTTTCTTTAAAAACCAGAACAAAACAGAGCATTGTTTCTATCTCCGGAAAGCAGGTTTGCTGGAGACCCTGATGTTCTTTGGAGTCTTTAATCTCATTTGTTAGCAGGAGTCACGTAGCCTCCATGCTTTAGTTAAGTTAGTGTCTTTGTTCTTGTTTATTTATGTAAAAATGAGTGCAGTTTGTGGTTTATAATAATTTTCATTTAAAATGTGACAATAAAAAAGATAGCTTTTATAAAAAATGGTAAAGTTTTATAGCAGAAAAAGAAGGGCTTTTCATATGATGGTGATTTGGTTTATTGGTATTGGTAGACAAATGCTGGAAAAGATGATATTTTAATCATGGCAATGCTAGGAAAAATATTTTAAAAATAGCAAAATAATCTGACACTCTTAAGCCTGTTGGGTAAGGTGTCATTAGAACTCAGACTAGGGAAGACTGTATTTGCACATTGATTAGGAAATGATTATTTTTCTTTTTTTTTTCCTCTGATTGGGGACCTTTGAGTTTTCAACTCTGCAGAGGCTTGATAGGATATCTATTATTGTTTAAGCTGGCTTCTGAAAGGGTATTCTTTGAATATCCTGATAATGGCCACCACATGTAGTGTTGCAGAATGAACCTGAATGCTGTCTGCGATGAGATAGCATCAGAGACCTTTTTGAATCAAACTAAACACCATCTACTGCTCCTCCCTTGCTCACAGATCCAGCTATCTCCCATGCTTTCTGTATAACTAAACTGACAATATATGGATTGGATGAGTGTGTAATAATGTGGGAGGAGGATTGGCTGAATTGCTGAGCTCACTGGTATGAAGTCCAATTGGCAGCTGGACAGAAGTGGTATCTCTCAGGTGTTCTGTGGCATAAATGATCTTATGAGTCTGTGCCCTTAGAGATTAGGACATCTGAATTGTAAAATCCACAGGTGCAAAATATGCTGCTTGATCATAAAGCGTCAACAAAATCAAAATTGCAGGGCATGTGGTGTAAAAGAGTTCATTACAGAAGTTTTTCTTAAGTCTTATTTAATAAACGCCCCTTTTTGAAAAGTTCTAATCTACCTTCTTATTCCAGGTTTTTTTAATCAACTAAAATTTTATTCTGAAGAGTTCAGGAAGTGGTCATTGTTCAATCTTTGGTTAGGACCATTGCCTGTCGTAGTTTTGTATCACCCCGACAGTGTGGAGGTGAGTGTGCTGGTCTCCTGCCTATTCTACTGTCATGCAGAGTGGTGTCCCTCCTGTTAGTTTGTATTATCTCAATGTACTTTTTGTTAAAAAGGACTTGGGCTGATTTTCCTTGGAATTGTCCTCTGACCCAGTTCTAAAGAAAGGCTTAAAGCAAAAGAATGTAAAAAAGCCTAGTCTGGGTGGGGAGGGGGGAGAGCTGGGAGGGGGGCATACTGAAGATGGCCAGCAAATGAAAGCACCAACACAATATGTTTTATACGAAGAAGCATCTCCTTTAGCTTTTTTTTTTCACATGTGTGAAAGCTTCTGCTCCCAAGATCAGAACAGGTAAGCAGACAGCAGGGAAGGTGGGACCACTGAAATAAGGATGGAACATTATGAAATACAGATTTCAGTGCTTGTCTCTGACTGACTTCTGCATTAGAACTTGGTGGGTCTGTCATGGTGCCATGAAATGTAGTCATTAGTTTTGCTACTGCCAGTGATTGTCCTTGAACAGGAATAGTTGTGCTTTCAGAAGAATTTGTAATGGGAAAGCTAGAAACTCTTTTTCACTTAGGAAGCCTGCAGAGTGTCTTCTCAAGAGGGTTAGATGTTTTTTTTCTTCCCTTCTGCAATCCAGAGGGGGTTGCAGAGAGAGCTGTGTTCTCTCTCTTTCTCTGCTACGCTGGAGACAGATAACTCTAACAGACATGCAGAGAGGCCTTGGGAAGGTGGGGGAGAAATGGAGAGGGTAAAAAGGTGCTGTACAGGGCATGAACTTGCCTTTTTTGTCCCTGGGGCCTGGTGCTTGAATAGCACTGTCAGGTATTTGTAAGTTTCTCATGCTTTGGCCTTCTAAATAAACTTTGAATTCTTTCCACTGCGTTGGCATTTCTGGGGATACCTGCATATTTTACTTTACAACTGAGAAGACAGGGTTTTCTCTCTGTTGGAGTGTTTATTGAAGAAAGAGTGAAGAAATCTCTCTCTATCTAACAAATGATATTTTTTTTCCTTGCTATTAATTTTTTTGACAGGTTATTTTGAACAGTTCAAAACATATAGAAAAATCATACCTGTATGACTTCCTGCATCCATGGCTGGGCACTGGACTTCTGACAAGGTATAATGAAATGCAGGTGCATTCCTGTCTTTTTGAAATTCGCAGGGGATATGATAGGAAGAGATCTTGGTGGCAGGAATGCTGTGTATATCTCTGAACAGAGAGATTGTGTGCATTGCTTATCTCAGCTGGTGATGCTGCAAACCAGTAGGATTGGCGTGAGGCTGGTGATGCTTTGGGGTAGGATTGGAGAGTATCTGCACCCTGCCCTTCATTTCCTTCATTAAGTGGAGGATCCTAAGAGGTGAGCTCAGGTAAGAGCATAGGTCAGGAGTGGAGAGGGGGAAGAGCAATGATGTAAGGGTTTGGTGTCCTCCAGTCTTGGGAGGGTAAAGGAAGGTTTAGTCTCGATGATGCAGATATTCAAGAGTGAGAACAAGGCGAGGGTAGAGTGGCTTTGGTGTCTTTGAGCCTCTTTTGAGTTTTTGCGAGAAGGTCACGGTCCCCCTGTTAGTTTGTTTCTCTTCTATGGGCTTTGCTGCTTGTTTGGAGCCCTCAGAGGTGAACTCCTTGTGCTTTATGATGGGACCATGGTGGTGTAAAAACCAACTGTGATCACATGGTGTGAGAAGTGCAAGTTTATGTGAGAGAATGAGGAATGCCTTTTATCCTGAATTTTGTTCATGGCCCTTAAGAAGCCAGTTAGCAAGCAGTAACAAAGTGCAGAAAGTTGAGGTCCATAGGCATCAGACATCTTCACTGTTAAGTCTTCTTCCTTGTTCGTTATTTTGTGTCCCATAGACTTATAGAGATATTTTGACTTCTTTGTGCTTACAAAAACATAATGGAGGCAAATGTTCCAGTCTGTACTGATTAAGGGCAGCACTGGTAGACAGCAAGCAGATAAGCTGGCCTGAGGAGTGCCCCAATAGGAAGTTAACAGGAGTAGTGGTGTGATGGTTTTGCCTTGTAAGCAGAGGTGCCAGCTGTGTGCCTGTGGCACATGTGATTCAGAAAAAGCAAACAAGAACCCCCAGGAAGCTATTTCCATTCTCTGTGGCTCTCTGCTTGTTCACTGGCATGAGGGAACTGGTTGCCTGTCTCCAAGGGAATACTTGGAAGCCAGGCCTTGAGGCGGTCATTTTGTTAATGTCCCTAGGCCCTAGTTCTCCGCAATCCTCATTTCACAGTCAGCAGATGAAGGGAAGCATGACTAGTGATTCAGAGAGACACTGTGGTGGGTTGAGGCCTTGATGCTGAATAGCTGTTTTGTCCTATAGGAGGCTTCTACTTGGTCCCTCTGAGCCTGTGCACTGACCAACAAGGCTGTATTGCCTGGAGGCTTGTTGGCATCTCTGTTTGTTGAGAGCAGCTAGAGAAATGGTGGCTTCTGCTTCTGAGAGATCTGGAGCAAGAAATATTAACATTTGCTGCTTCTGGGGAGTGCTATGAACAGCTTAAAGAGACATCTACAGAGTGTCCACCTCTTCCAGGCTGCAGTATTTACTGTATACTTCCTGTGATGGTGAGGTTTTTATTTTTGACTTGGGAGTTTTTAACCCTTCCTTCACTCCATTAATTTTACAGCACTGGAGACAAGTGGCGGTCGCGGAGGAAGATGATAACTCCCACTTTCCACTTTGCAATATTGAATGATTTTCTAGAGGTTATGAATGAACAAGGAAGTATTTTGGTTAAGAAACTTGAAAAGCATGTTGACAAGGAACCATTTGATGTCTTTCTGGATATCACTCTGTGTGCCCTTGATATCATCTGTGGTAAGTCCTCTTCAATTATTGTGGTGGGACTGTAAATGATGTGGATGCTCATGACTACAGCTGTGCCAGTTTGTGTGAGGAGGTGATTGAAGAGGAACATCCCTGCATATGGTGTGAATGCATTTCTATCCTCCCAAGGCCATCCTTTCTCCCAGGGTTTATTATGTGCATCTGAGCAGGTGAGTTTGTGGGATTGGCACGACAGAGATAGCATCTGAAGTGAGGTTGTGTTGAAGAGCAATATTTCTGGGCATGGAAACACAAAGCAAGCTCATCATCTGGAAAGGGATGTTTGTATTCACCTGTCAAAGGGATGGTGTGGTGACAGTCAGAAGCTGGGAGCAGTAGTAACTTACTGTGTACACAGACTTTGCATTTCACTTTGCACATGTGAAATGTTGATATTTTTCTCCTTCTAGAAACAGCAATGGGCAAGAATGTAGGTGCTCAGAAGAATAAGAATTCTGACTATGTTTCTGCTATCTACAGGTAACTGGACATTTTCCTTAGCTACTGCTCTAGCTGGAGTTGATGCTGCTGGTGTCAGGAGGGAAGACCAGGGGGGCAGAGATGGAGGGATGTAAAGCACTGGAACAGACCAACCCTGAGTCACTAAATACCCTGGAGATATTTGAAAGACTTGTAGATATGGCACTTAGGGTCACAATTCAGCAGTCAGTTAACACTAGGGTTAACTAGTTGAACTCAATTATCTAAAAGGTTTCTTTCAGCCTAAATGATTCTATGATTCTATGATCTCACTCCAAGCTTTCGATGGTGCTTGTTGATTGCAGGTACGTTATGAAAGAAGGTGTGGACTTCTAGAGTTTGATTTTCATCGATTCCTTGGCCTTTCCCAAATTGTACCACAAGTGGGCATGAAGTTGGCCTAAATGTAGTAACTACTTCTTGAAGTCTCTGCAGCCAAAGCATGTGCAAGAGCTGCATAGCAATGACAATCAGCCCTTCCAAATGTACTCCAGTTTGTTTGAGCATACTTGAAGTCTCATATTCTTTGTTTTAAATACTTTTACATGTTATCTGGCATATATGGTATCTGGAATTGTACTCGAGTTGTGTTTGAGCATAAGGATACTTAAGTCTCATGTTCTTTGTTTTAAATACTTTTATATGGTGTCTGGTGTATATGGGATCTGGACAATCAAGTAGGAATGTAATGATGTCAGATGACTGAGTTCTCAGGGCAGATATTTTGGAAGCCTGTCATGAGTAGTCTTTTCGACGTGGCCAGTGCCTTACTGAAGTCACATGGGACTGAACTGGATGACTTAATAGGTCTGTTTCAAGAGGATTCCAACTAAGTGAGAATATGCTCTCCTTCTCAGAGAACAATGCTTAAAGATATAAAACATGGTGATGCTGGGACAGGTAACAGAAATTTTGAGATGGTGTAAGATCAGGAAACAAATGTGAACGGCCTTCCTTTCAGATGAATGAGTTTAAACTCACACAATCTGTTAAATTCTACTTCATTAGGGTACATAGAACACTTTTTTTGTTTTTTGAAAGTGTGTCGTAGTTTATTTTTTTGTCAATAAATGTTACATGATATAATTGTTTTGCCCCTAGGATGAGCGATCTAATCCAACAGAGACAGAAGAGCCCTTGGCTTTGGCCTGATCTTTTATACATGCTATTCAAGGAAGGAAGAGAGCACAAGAGGAACCTCAAAATCCTTCACAATTTTACAGATAGAGTATAATTCTTTTGTTTGTTTGTTATTTATAATGATAATTTTAGTTATTGGAGCCAAGTCTTGCACTCAGTAGAGAGCTTCCAAATGGGATGAGGTTCAGCCTCCTTGATATGCATGTACTAAGAGAAGAGCTCTCTCTCAATTGGGATGCTGAGGAATTCCCCGAAAAGAAGACAATAGTTGACTTCCCTTTCTGGAGTTCTGTCAAATTTAAACAATAGGAAGTATACAAATCCAAGGGAGTGTCAGGACTTACAGCGGGAATTCATTGAACTCTTGTTCTGCCCCAGAAGGAGAAGCATCCGAAGCACTTGCAAGAGCTCACTGCCAAGTTTGGAGCAGTAAGCGTAGGGCTCTGCGTGGTGATGCTATTTGATCCAGCCCTCAGAAATTGAAGGCTATATTCATTTTTCCCTATTCAGAGCAGAACTGCTCAGATAAGCAAACAGATACAGGTCTCCACATCAGCAGAAAGACACTTTGACACAGAAACCATTAAGCATGTGTCACTGACTTGGCATAAAATGCAGTGTTCTCTCACTATGTTAGACTGGAAATAACAGCCCTTTCACTCACCAAATAATTCCCACGCTACTCTTGCTAATGTTTGCCTTCCAAATCTACTTCGAGGATGTTTTCAGACTGCTTTCCCTATGCATGTATGATGTCGTGGCATCAATGTCTATGACAAAGAAAATAATCTCTGAACTTCGATTACATATAATGAGCCACATTGTGTTTTTTTAAGTACGTCATGTTTTGCTTCCTTTTATTGGGAACTGCAGCAGTGAGACCTGAGAGAGGCTCTTAAGAGGACGTAAGATAACACTTGCTCTCTTCCTATGCTGCAGCTGAATATAAAAAGCCAAATCTTAGAAGACGACAAAGAAACAGTAAATAATAATGTCACCTAGTGTAGGTGCTGACAGAAAGAACTGAGTCAGCACAGCTTCATGAGAGGAAAGTCCTACTTATCAACCTTGATTTCCTTTTATGACAAGGTAATCCATCTAGTTGATCAAGGGAAGCCAGTTGATGTAATCTTTTTGGATTTCAGTAAAGCTTTCAGTACTGTCTCTCACAGGACCCTTCTGGACAAAATGTCTATCTGGATAAACACATCTCGTGGTGGGTGAGCAATTGGCTCACAGATTGAGCACAGAGGGTAATAGCGAATGGGTGAACATCAGACCGGTGACCTGTCACCTTGACAAATTAGAGGACTGGGCAATCACCAACTATATGAAGTTCAACAAAGGAAAGTACTGGATTCTGCACCTGGGATGGGGCAACCCCGGATATTTGTACAGACTGGGGAATGAGATGCTGGAAAGCAGTGCCATGGAAAGGGACCTGGGGGTCCTGGTTGATGGCAAGTTGAATATGAGTCAGCAGTGCCCTGGCAGCCAGGAGGGCCAACCATGTCCTGGGGGGCATCAGGCAAAGCACTGCCAACCGGTCGAGGGAGGGGATTGTCCCACTCTGCTCTGCACTGGTGCAGCCTCACCTTGAATATTGTGTGCAGTTTTGGGCACCACAATATAGGAAAGATATTAAGCTATTAGAGAGTGTCCAAAGGAGGAGAACAAAGATGGTGAAGGGCCTTGAGGGGAAGCCGTATGAGGAGCGGCTGAGGGCACTTGGTCTGTTCAACCTGGAGAAGAGGAGACTGAGGGGAGACCTCTGTCTACAACTTCCTCATGAGGAGAAGAGGAGGGGTAGGTATTGTTCTCTTCGTTATGGTGACCAGGACAGGACAGGACCCAAGGGAATGACCTGAAGTCATGTCAGGGGAGGTTTAGGTTGGATATTAGAAAAAGGTTCTTCACCCAGATTGTGGTTGGATACTGGAACGGACTCCCCAGGGAAGTGATCAGATCATCAGGCCTGACAGAGTTCAAGAAGCATTTGGACAATACTCTCAGTCACATGGTGTGACTCTTGGGGATGGGCCTGTGCAGAACCAGGAGTTGGACTCAATGATCCTTGTGGGTCCCTTCCAACTCAGCATATTCTGTGATTCTGTGAAAGATGGTTCAATATGTGACATACAGGCATGTTCAGTGAGGCAAGCAATGTGTGTGCAGAAACTGTATTTTTTCTGCCATTCCGTGCTTCCTCTGAACAGAATTGCATGCTCTACAGCCTTTCTTTTTAATTATTCTGTTTTTAAAAGCAATGCCAGTTTATGAAGGGTTCTGTTTTGTTGTTGCAACAACAGTGGTAACAACAAGAAATCTGTCTGTTACTGGGGCTTTACTTTGACCTGGAAAAGGGAAGTTCAACCATTGCTCTCATACTGAAGAAAGTTCGGGAAGCTTTAATCTAGTGGTTAAGCGATGCTATGTGTAGCGTTGATGCAGGGTTGTGGTATGTCTTGTCTTCTCTTCAGTCTCCTGGGTTCCTCAGGGTTGGAGGTGAGATATTTTCCTTAGTTTATGGGATAGGATAGAGAAGATCTTATTAGTGGTTAGTCTGTTGACATTGTGATGATTTTTTTGATTTGCTGTTGCCATTGTTGACATTCATGATTGGCTGGTTCCAGATACTCTGGAAATGTTTACACTTCTTGATGATCAACAAGTTGTTTATGTAGTTTGGCTGTCTATTTCTTGATCACACAAAGGTTCATTCTGTTGCATGGGACAAGAGGTGTTGGTCATATTTCACCTACTAACACAAAAGGTCAGTCAAAGTTCATGACCTAATGCTGATAGCTATGCTAACTAGATCATGTGGACTGCTATAGATGGATGTTGTTGTTTTGATAACTTGGGACAAAAATCTATGATGTAGACTATGGGCCTGTGCTGAATGCATTATATCTGATATAATGGTTCTAATCTCAGGTCATTGCAGAAAAAGCTGCAGAACTTGAAAACACTAAGCAAAAAAACCATGATAATGATGGCAACTGTGAAGAAAGTGTCTCCAAAAAGAGAAAAGCATTCCTGGACATGCTGCTGAGTGCAACAGATGATGAAGGGAACAAACTGAGCTACAGGGACATTCGTGAGGAAGTGGATACTTTCATGTTTGAGGTAACCAAGGAAGCCACTGGTTTGTTTGTGGGTTTTTTGTTTTGTTTTGTTTTGATTTTTCTGGTTTTGTTTTTTTGTTTTGTTTTGTTGTTGATGTTGGTTCTATTTGTTTATTTTGGATGTTTTTTTCCCCAGAACCTGAGATTCAGAATTTGAGGGTAGTGACTCTTGTCTTAATTCAGGAGCTTGCTTTTAGTATGGAGTTATTTTAGCCCTGGAAGCCTAAGAGGAAATATCAGTCTTTCTACCCTACAAAGGTAGGATAGAAACATTGATGTGCCCTGGCAAAATGTTGGGCAATACATGTGTGGTAGGCCCTGCCTATATGAACAGGCTCTACTCATGAAAGCAGGTGAGTAATACAAGCTTAATGACTGACGCGGACTGTGGGCTCTTGGCTTATGTTGCAAACCTCATTAACACTGAACAGAGCTCTGAATGGTTTTGGTGTTTTGTCATCTCTCCTCACGTTTTGTCCATTGCCATGTTGGCTGTTCCTGGTTCTGTTGTCAGCTGTGTATTAGTGTGTTGTCTTCTCATAGAATCTTACACAGAATGGTTTGGGTTGGAAGGGACCTTAAAGATCATCTGGTTCCAACCCTCCTACCATAGTCAAGGATGTCATCTGTTAGATTAGGTTGCCCAGGGCCCCATCCCACTTGGCCTTGGACATCTTGAGAGACAGGACATTCACAACTTCTCTGGACAACATATTCCTCACTACTCTGTGAGTAAAGAATTTCTTCCTAACATCTAATTTAAATCTCTTCTCTTTTAGTTTAAAACCATTCTCTCCAAACCCTCTGATCATTTTCGTGGCCCTTCTTCATGTCTGGTTCTCTGTCTAATGAAGGATCTAAACAAGATTTTCACAAGTTTCCCACACGCTTCCATTAGGTGGACCTGAATTCTGTCTCAGAAGAGCTTATGTCATAGAATCATGTTACTGCTATTGTAACCTAGAGAAACTCTCCTCCCATTATTACTATTTCTGTACTACATCAGCATCCTGAACTTCACTGTAGGTGCACTTTTTCAGTACCGAAATCCTTTTTTGGTCAACTTTTCACTTTTCTGTTCTCCCCTTTTTTCTCTCTTTTTTTACTTCTTTGGTTCCCCTTTCCTCTCCCCTTTCTTTACTTCTCATTGCCTTCCTAAGAGCTGAGAACTAGTAGTTGATCCCCTTTTCATAGAAAACCAAGAAGTATTTTCTCCTTTGGCTACTGTAATGTGTCTTATTAGACCATTTTTAGATAGTTTTGTAAAGGTTACAAGTTGTGTCCATTTTATCTCTCCTGCAGTAGTCATTGGCCCCCCCAGATGTTATGTTGTTGACTGGACAAAAATATGAAAATACATCCATTTCGTTGTGTAGAGGCTGATACTTCATACAGCTTCTGAGAATCAGGAGAGATTTTGCTTGTGTTATTTCAATCCTTTTCACTTTTGGTCAGTTTTCAGCACCTGACAGAATTGTGGGTCATCTTATACCTTGATAATTAGTGTGTTGAATAGAGTGTTTCACTCTTGATTCTTGTTTTTCTCGTGGTCATGGGCCTAATAAGTGTCGCTTTCCATATTACCTGCATACCTAAGTGTTTGCAAAGCCCACTGGTGCACAGGAATAGAGTTGAAGTGAATGTCTTTGTAAATCTGAACCTCTAGGGCCATGATACAACAGCAGCTGCTATGAACTGGGTCCTATACTTGCTTGGACATAATCCTGAAGTTCAGAAGAAGGTTCACAAAGAATTGGACGAGGTGTTTGGTAAGTTTCCATTCCCGCCTTCACTGGGGCTTTGGCGATAGTTGATGCATTTGTGAGTGGAGATGTGTTAGAAGCTGAGATGTAGAAGGGGAGGTAGGAGCATGCCTTCTGGCCCTTTTGGAGCTTTCAGCAGCTAGAAGTGATTGGGACGTGTGTGGGAAGATCTGTAGGGGTGTTCAACCAACCTTACGTCTTGGGGGCAAGATATGCATGTTCAATATATGTGTAACAGGTTCTTGTATGTAGTCTTGGTGCACGATAGGAATTCCTGGAGGGATCTAGGGTGAGTTTGTTTAGCCAGAAATGGGGAGTTTTGATCTTGCTCATTCCCCTGTTTGTTTTTGGACAGACAACACTGAGCGTCCTGTTACAACAGACGACTTGAAACAGCTTCGATACCTTGAGTGTGTTGTGAAAGAAGCCCTTCGGCTCTTCCCTTCAGTTCCCATGTTTGCCCGTACCTTGAGAGAGGACTGCTGTATTAGTAAGTAAGCTGTATTTGCCACTTTCTGTCCTGTTAGCATGTCCTCATGGGAGATGTTTCCCAAGTAAATGGCAACATTGTTTTATTTTTTACTGTACTGTTGTGCATAGAAAGTCACTTATTTGCTGTTGTTTTGACTCTTTTTCTTCCTTTCCCTTTTCTCTTTAGGTGGATATCAGATACCAAAAGGTGCAACTGTTCTTGTTTTAACTTATGCCCTGCACAGAGACCCGGAGATCTTCCCGGACCCAGAGGAGTTCAGGCCTGAAAGATTCTTCACTGAAAATTCTAAGGGAAGGCACCCGTATGCTTACGTGCCCTTCTCAGCTGGTCCCAGGAACTGCATTGGTAAGTATCTGAAGAAGCCTTTGAAATGTGACAGTTTGGCTTTTGGTGTGGTAACTGAGACAGCAACGAGTGTATCAGAAATTTAAGTCTTGATGTACCTGCTAATTGTGTACTGTCCTTCCTGCCCCCACTGCCCCCAGCCCCTGAATTCTGGGCGCTGTGGGCCCTGCAAGCCTAGTGCTTGAGCTGCCACGTTTGTTTCTTCCCAAGTTTCTTCTTGAGCTGCCACATTTGTTTCTTCCTAGAGACCAGTGTCTATCACACTGATGTTTCCTCCTCTCTGCCTGTGCAGCCTGGTAGCATGTTATTTGGCTCTTGTGTTAGGACAGGATTCCTTCCAAATTTCTGATTCTCAGTGTTAGCAAGACAGAGTGAGAGAAGACAAATGCCCTGCACCTGTTTTGATCTAGAAACATCTCCTCTGTCTCTCTCATGATCTGAGCTGAGTGTCCCAGACATGCAGTCTGCAACTGATGTATTTTTTCCCTCTTTTCTGACACTGTAGTTGGTTTGGTCTTTTCACTGTCATCCCAGAACTTGTTAGCTCTTCTGATGCCACTGAGATGCTTGGCATTCATCTGTGCTCAGAATAGAGGCATTGTTGGTTTTATTGTAGAACATGTGAAAAGACTGTTCCCTGCACTGATTTTAACTGCAGGTGGGGAATATCCAGAAAATGTCATGCCATTTACAGGAACAGGAAATATAACTTCTTCTGGGTTTTTTGGTTTTGTTGGTTTGGTTTGATTTCTTTTTTTGGGGGATGGTGTTGATTTGTTTTGATTTGTCTCATTGGTAGTAGGTGCCCTTCCCATAAGAATAGTAAACTAGGTCTTTCCATGTTCCAGAGAGAAATCTAATCTAATCTAACATGTCTAGCTAGTTCCTGAGTGTGAAGGAACATGTGCAGGAGAGATGGTTCATTAATATCATTGCAGAAATGCATCACTGCGTTCATGTGTATGGACATCCGTCTAAGCATATTATACAGAGGGGAGAACAGAAAAAGTTCTGAGCCCTGGCTTTGTGTCCTGTGCTCATTTTTCAGTTTAGTTTGTGTGAACTGCCAGGATTGTGGCACTTGGTTTGATTTCCCTCATGTTTCTCTGTTCTCCCCTTTCCTTCTTCACCTTTCTCTGAAGTGTAAATTGAACTTTGCCATCTGTGCTACCAAATCATCAGAGTGTGTGAGGTTTAATGATCACTGAAGGAACGTCTGTCTGTCATTCCGTTGCAGTCATGCCTCCTTTGCTCTTCTCCACATGTATGGACCAATGACATTTTTCACTCTCCACAGTCCCTGTATGGCATCTTCTGCTCTGGTCTGCCATCCGTTCCCCCTACCTAGTCCATCCAGGAGATATGACAAGGTTGTGTTTTGTAGAAGTTCCATAAAAAGGGTTGACTGTTTCTGCTTTGCTGTTTGAATTCTGTGTACTATGGGAAGGAAGACACAATGTGGATTATCCCAGGAAGGCCAGAGTTTTCATGCAGAGAAAAGTGCTAGTATTGTTAGGATCCATGTAAACTCGATTTTGGCCTAAGGCTAGTTCTGTTCTCAAGGCAGATGCACAGTCTTTGCTCTCTCCTGTTCCTGGGAGTATCATGGTGAACATCCAAGTGCAGCAGCCATTGATGCAACCTTACAATAACTTTTCTTCCTGCCCTGTAACTTGTAGGTCAGCGCTTTGCACAAATGGAGGAGAAAACTCTTCTAGCCCTCATCCTGCGGCGCTTTTGGGTGGAGTCATGTCAAAAGCCAGAAGAGCTTCGTATAGCTGGAGAATTGATTCTTCGTCCAAATAATGGCATCTGGATTAAGCTGAAGAGGAGACCAAATGCTGGATCAGAATGAAACCCATTTCAAGGGTTTACTTCCAAAAATATTCAAGCTATTTAGGCTGAAATATGTTTTAAAATCAGATATTTTGGTGTCAGTCCAGCAGTGTGTTAAAACTGGTTGTTACTGTTTCATTAAAGATGTTGTAATAGTCTTAAATTGCTCTACTTTTCTAGTACTTGTGAACTTCATGTTAATCTTTGAACTGCAAGTCTTTAAATATTAACTTTTAATGCCTTATCTGCTCAGATGAAACTATTCTGTTGCAACAGTGCCACAAAACCTTAAGTTATGGTAGTAGCAACCAGATCACAACAAGTGATCTGGTTACATGCCATAGCATTTGCCATGTAACTGATAGTCTCAAATATTTGTACAGTTTTCAGGTTTCTGAAATATACAGTATCAGGTTCTGATAATTCTTCCTCTCAGGCAATATTTTTCCTTTTTGATAATGACTGTATCTGTGAAGATGAAGCAAAAATCTCTGGTGACTTCTCTCCTCCTCTGTAAACATTTACAGTAGTTCTTAAATAGTGAGTGCTCTGAATTATTTTTAGCAAAGTATACCATAAGCATTAATCTGTATAACCATACCAGGAAGTAGATAGTGTGCAAATTACACACTGGATGTCTCAATGACAGAACCACTGTATTTGCAAATAAACTTCTACTATGCCTCAATATGGAATGAAATTGCATCTGTAGAAATTGCATGCCTGTATGCAGGTAAAGTAGAGATGCATAATTATTTCTTAGCATCAGTTGCTTTGGGGTGATCAGTCAACCAGATTTTACTGTGTTGCTCAAAGCTCAAACAATGAGCCAGTGTGCTCATTCTAGGGTCTTGTAAAACCCTGAACTTGCTTGGCAAGTTTGTTAGAGGGGGCTTAGGTACTTCAATTCCCCGAGACAGGCATAAGGGAGAACACTGTAGTGTTTTCAGGAGGTTAAACAACAAACTTTTACTGGCAGACTTCAGAGAATAAGGGTACTTGGCAAGTTTCCTTAAAGCAACATTCAATCAAAATAAAGCATTTCACAGAGCATTGACTTAGCAAACTCTAGCCCATCCAACTTCCAAGTTACCCAGATTTCAAGACAAGGAAATTTGAAGAAGAAAGAGAAAGAAAGGGGAGAAAGAAAGACTAATAATCACTGCTTGAATTCCAGCACGATCTCAGCTCCTATAAAATGCAAACGGGCCACAACCCTGTGTATTCCTGTGCAATTGCTTTTATTGGCTCTGGTCTCTCTTCTCCTAGGTGGGGCATTCAGTGTGCCAGTGGCTAATAGCCATTCTGGGCTGGACTAGATCTTGAGGGGTGAGGGGTGTGGAGCAGTGCACCATCCCTTCTTGGCTGAATTTACCCTGCTCCCCCTTGCAACCCCCCTACCTCCCTTTTTAGTTATTTTGAGGCAGTAATCATTTTCTCCACTCTCTCACAGGCCATGAAGGCAACATACACAGTTTTTTGCTAATTGAAGTTAAAGATGAATCACAGTGATGGAATAAAGTGTCTGTGAAAAGTTTCTGACTGTTGGTACCTTCAGGACAGGTCAAAATCTGTTACAGGCCACACAGCTTTTTGCAAGCTCTGAAAAAGCTGATGGCTAGAGCAAGGTCAGGTCTTCTAGCTGATCTGCCCTTTACTTGTGCCCTATGCTTTGGGACTTCTTTTGGCTGGTGTCTGTTGCTCCAGCACGGTGCCGTACAAAGAAGGGAGCCCGCTGATAACCACACTTCTGTCTTTAGGTGCTGATGCAGCTCTTGCTCTTGCCCTATGGTTGGCAGTGAGGGTTTTTGGTGTGCTGTTGCCTTTAGGTTGTTCTGGGGCTTTGGGCACCCTGCAAAGGGGAACTGGATGAGAAGCTGGAGGTCAGAGCTGATACAGCCAATATGGCTTGGTCCAGTCTAATGAGTAACATGGTACAAAGTAACAAAGGAGTAATCGGTCTTTACTGGTTTTGTTGATCTTTTGTCTGTTTCCGTGTGCCCTTTTAACAATACTTTGTGGTTTAGCACCTGGGATACTTCCCTACTTTGTAGAACGTCATAATAAAGAGAAAATAATTTCTATGTTTTCCAAGTAAATTAGAGGTTTCCTTGAACCTGCCAAATTCTTTATGTTCTGATGAACCTAGGTTTTACCATTTTCTGAGGATCTTATAAAAAGAAAGTATTTAATTGCTGAGTTTACATAAATGAAATTACAGATCTTGACAAAGAGTTTGTAATTGCTACCTTTATTTTGCCCTTAAGAAAAAAAAAGTCATGTAGCAATGGCAAAATGGCTGCATTCTTCAGCCTTCTTTTTCAAATAGGTTTCATTTCTGTATAATAACAAGAATTTAAGTTTCCAGGGCTGAATGTAAACATTGTTTTCTTTATAATGAGATAACTTTTGAGACTACCTTCATATGTTAATACACAGAATACAAATGACAAGTGTTTTCTTAAGGAATTATTTCATACTTTCAGGTACTCAGCAGTGTGAGCTTTCAAGGTATACAAGATTTGCATCCAAGATATGTTTTCTCAGGACTTTTGGTATGTAGTTGAAACCTGGAGAGGTACCTCATGTTTTCCTAAACTATGTCCTTAAAGCTGAAGACTTTCAAGACTTCCTTTTCTTCTGTGGAATCTATTTTGTAGAAACAGTTTGTAAGATAGACCAAATTATAGCAATTCTTTCCATAAGATAATTTTTTTTTACTTCTAGCTATTCTGGCCAATATTTTTTCTTGCACTTTGTTTTTGTATCATACTCTTCTCATATAATGAGATCTCAAGTAAATTATAATTTCTTTATGATTTCTGATGTGAACAAGAAAACAACTGAGACAAAAACTAGATAAAACTGTAATGAGAAACTCATTATTAAAAGTGCATGGGCTCAAATACTGGCCCATGTTGCCAAAGTGGAAAATCCCTATTTAGTGATGCACATAGTATCTTTGCCAAGATAAGCACTGATTTAATCCTGTAATCTTTGTGTTTGAAGCTGCTCTGAAATGGCGGTGACCTCTCATCTTCAGTTGTGAAATTTGGTTTTTAAAGCACTCTGAGGCTGCTAAGGAAATAAATATTGAGGAAAAAATACTGAAGGTACTGAACTTTCTACTGGGATAGCAGAAACAGAGCATATGAGTGTTTCTGGTTAATGGTTTACAGCTGTTATGGAGAACACTGACAATAAAGCCTGTGTAACATCTTGGGAGGTTCTGCTTGAGAGCTCCTGCAGATGCCTCAGAGGAACTAGAAGTTTCCAGCCAGCTTGACACAAACTGCTTTTTGGCGCCTGAAAGCTGCATGTTTGGACTCATGCAAGAGGTGGACTAATGGTGCTTTCTAAACATCCACCTGCCTTCCTGAATTTAATCCTCATGCTGTAAAAGACAAAACTTCATATGTAGATTTTAGTACACTGCTGCAAACAGATAATTTTGCCATGTGTTTTAGCTCTAAATTGAGCTAAAACACTCAATTTATCATCAATCTGCTCTGTTTTTTCTGTTTATTTGAACTGTATACCTTATTTTTCCAAAAGTGTGGAGTTGGAGTTTTTTGGGGGTTTTGTTTGCTTGTGTTTTAATAAGATAGTAATGAACAGGAATAACTGCCCAATATCTGACCTGGAAAGCCTAGATGAGAAATAAAAAGTGAAGAAATTAAGTCCTTGGAGAAAAGTTCTAATCTTTTTGTGCCACCAAGTGAAATGCATGCAGACATGTACACACACAAAGGCAAAATAATTATTTTAACTGAACACTAATACAAGTTGAGCAATACAAAAAGTTGTAAGTTCAACTTGTTCTTTTTATAAATATTCTGATAAGTGGTAGGTTTTGTGATTACTTTTATGGTGATGAAAACTTCGTAATTTGAAGTAAAGGTGAAAATTTTTCCAGGGGTGTGAAAAATTATCATCACTTTTTGGATGAGAAAAGAGTTGCATATTTGTGGTTATACAGGAAGGCTTCAGTGGTGTTGCCTGGCAATAGTGTGGTGTACTTTTCCAGAGCTGTGTTCCCATGATACCTGTCCACCCTGTGACCAATATAAAAATCTGCTTTTCTGAGTTAAAGGTCAGAGCTGTACAGACATCTTAGTCTCAAAACATTTCTTGTCACAGGACTAAACTATCGATGTGTTTTTCAGTAAAGACTTCTAGCACTCTCACTGTTGCACACGTAAAACAGAATAGAGCACATAAAAATGAAAGCTGCTTACTGAAAACAGTTGAGTCCTCTCCTACAAGCCTGTCAGGGCAAAGCAAATTGATACATGGAAGAGTATGAAGACTTTATTTGAGACAGTTCTTCTTCTGTAAGGAGGAGTTGGAGACCTTGCTGGCCTTTAAATCATGGAGAAGTGATTTCAATCATCAGGATGCTCAAAAGGGTCATAGAATGTTTTGGTCTTGATACTTTTTGAGTTGAGTATATATATCTGTCTTTTCCATATTTGATTTAAAAGAAAAGATGAAAAAAGTGGGGAGAAAGGAAGAGCCATTCCTTAAGCAGTTTCACTGTGAAACAAAACACCTTTTTTTTTTTTTTCTCAGATTTGAAAGATTTTTTTTTTTTTGACTTTTAACACCTATTAAAAAGAATAATAGAAATCAAAACAAGTGATTCAGATAAGCTAGAAATTAAGTTTGACTACTTGTTGTATTTACATTTCATATATCTGCAAACAGGCTTGTGTTTTTTCTGCTTTCTGGCAAACTGAAGACACTCTTTGTTGAACTTAGCAACAAAAACAGGAGTGTGGAAAGGCCGACAGTAAAATTACTTGGAAGATGTAGACAGGATAATTTCTGTGGAGTATTGAAAAGGAGGAATGATAACTTGTTAAGAGCGCAGTATACATAGTTGAAGTATATATCTGTGTTTGTCAAGGGAGTACCTCAAGAAAATGTTGTAATAATAAGAAAATATAGGTGATGATTCTGTCCTCAGCTGCTGTAGTTTCATAATGGTGTTGTTTACTAGTCTGACTAATTTCATGTGGATTCCCCCACTCCAGCTCCCCCGGGTCAGGATTTGCTCTTGAGTCAGATCTGGTTCCTTGTTTATGTGGGTTCCTGTGCTAGCAGCAGATACTCTGACTGTTCTGAATCAGAGATTTGCCTTTATTTAAAATGCTATGAAAGAGGCAGATGCTCAGCTGGTGTAAAACCAGAACATCTATTTCAGTGCAGTGTGGATGATGGATGTTCTGAAAATGGGTCCCAAGGTCAGTAACTATCGACAGAAAAGTAAATATTAAAGATAAGTTAGCATTGCAGGCACAATAATATTTAACACGAAGTGTGGACTTCTTTTTTTTTTTTTTTTTTAGTAGAGCATAAACCTTACCCATGCATCCAGACCTACTGTATGTTCAGGTATGTAATTATTATTGAAACTGGTATTCAGTGAAAGGTTTTCATAGCAACAAGACAGTGTATGTTGAAATATTTATGACTTGTGTTGTGTGGTTAATTTATTTGACTATTTCATAGCTTAAGTTGTTGCATGTGAAAAGAAAGGGTTTAGAATTCATATAGCATATACCAGAAGAAGTGAGTGTGAGTCATTTGTTTGCTATGGGGATAACAGTATCTACAAAACTATCAGGAGAGTCAGGATTAGTAATATCATTTCAATGTAATATTGCTCCCAGTCTAAGCAAGAATAAATATTCTGCTGTTAAAAAAAGTAGAAATTCTTGAAGTTCTTATAAGCTTTATTGCTTCTTACAAGCATAAGTAAAGGGATAACTTTTGTTACTCTTCCATGCTACTTTAGATATACCAAAACTGTATATCACAGCTGTAATTTGTAAATTTCAAAGTAATATTGAATTAATGGTGAAACAGTACAATTGTAAATCAGTGTTATCCTTTGTGGTGCCTTATAAAACTAGTTATACACCCTTTATTTAACACATCCTAAATAATAATTTTGTGGTTTTTAGGATGATTTGGATTTATCGGACTTTTAATTTCATTTTCTTACTTGCTTCTGTTTACGGTGGTAAGTGAATCTATAATTTCTGAGATTGACACACAGAGTAACACAACTCTTATAGGTGGGGAGATGATAACTACAGTCTGGTCCTGAGAGAACTGTTTTGATTCTGCTGGGTTGAGCTTAGTTAAGTTTGGGTAACTCACATAACCCTATTATCTGACATGGAACTTTCTAATGGGACTTTACTGATACTGTCCTGCCACCCCCATTGCAGTAATGTGTGCTGGCTGCTGTAGGCTCAGTCTGGCAGTGCTGGGTGAGCTATCACTATCTGCCTCTTCCTGGCTGCAAAGGAGCCTCAGACCTTTCCCCAGACGCTGCCCTCAGGTAGGAGGCAGGACTGATGGGCAGCCTCACTGTAAGACACCAGCTGAGCTTCAGAACTAACATCCTTTTTTAATTTTTTTAAATAAACAAACCCCACCAACTTCAGTCATACTCATATGTTGCCTTTGTGTGAAATTACTCATGTAAAAATTATCTGTGTAACACCTATGTACCACTGTGCTTGAAAGACTATTGCAATAACAGTGAATAACTCCAAAACCAGTTGTTTTGTTGTAATGGTTTTTAGAATTCTCTTGGTACTCTGGAAAATTGATAATTGTACATTTTTTCAGTCTGTGTTAATGATTTACTTTGTTCAGTTAGCAAAAGTTAAATTACAAAAATTGCATTATATTTCTCTGAAATTCCTTTTGCTGATAAGTTATAACTAAGGCCTAACACAAGTTCAGTAATGTATTACCTGTTTTCTCAGACAACAATTAGGTAACAGCTTTTTAGCAAAATCTGTTTGATAAATGTAGTATTATTTAAGAGAATATTTTTCCTGGCTTTAAATCTCAGCAAAACTAAAATCTTGGAAAATGTCTGAGGGCTAGAAAACATTTTATTAAATTAACGTGTTCAGAACTGGCATAGTTCTACATGGTGCACAGTTTTACAGCATAAATAAAATTTTTGTGTGTTAATTTACACTAGAAGATAAATAAGATCCAAAATATCTGATACAGCAAACAGAATGCACTTAGAGTATTCTTAGAGTAGAAAATGCTTTTCTGTTAATGACAGTTGGGCAAAGAAACTCTACTGAGAACAATAATTACCAATTTTTAGAGAAATATCTTGGAAGTATACATACCAGAAAAATATGGATATTTATAAAGTACAAATTTTTATTAATAAGAAATTCAGCTTTGAAAAATATTAGGATATCTAGGACATTGTCTAATAATTTCTCATTCCTTTTCTTTTTTTTTAAGTATATATTTTACTTATGTGCAGGAAACATAGAATTGCCTATGTATAGTTTATAATCACATTAACAAATAAAATCCACTTGTAATATTTTAAAACTATAAAGTCCAATATGATAGTTCTATTTATTTTCATTTTAAATAGTATTTGATACATTATGATGCTCTGTAGTAACAGATTAAACCAGTAGATAAATTGTTTTCAGTTAGGTTTTCCTCCCAGTCTGTAAAATTACATTATTTTCTCTTTATCTTTTAGCTGAGAAAAAGCACTTTTGTAGATACAGGAATAAAAATTGGCATACTTGCTGGTTTGCTACTTCTTTTGGAAGGCAAATTCAAGAAGAGAGTGGTCTCCTGTGCAAAGACAACTCTCTTGTGTATTTTAACATGGAAACCTTACAACTGCCTTCATTTTGAAAGATGGGAGCAGGTTGCTGCTTAGGTACCTTTGTTGCTTGACTCTGGAGTGTGAGTGGTTGTCATTACAGAGTTCAGTAGGTCATTCAGAGTTCAATATTCCTGCAGATGCATGGTTGTAGTTGAGCTCATTTTTATTCTGGACCATTCTGAGATGCTACTCCTGAAACAGTATTTTCTTCATTGTAAAGCAAATTGGAGGGTTCAAGGTGAAGTGTGAGGGAGCAGGTTTATGAAATGCTCTGAGTCATTGAGGCTGTGTACAGTGGCACCGCCTGGGACTCTGGCCTCAGAGCAACACTGGACAAAATAGGACTGTCTTTACATAAAAGTTCCTAAATCTTTTTGGTCTCTGCGCTTCCTCCTCCTCGTTTTCCTCGTAATGGTGGTCTCTGTCAGAAGAGGCTTCTGCTACTCCTGAGATCTGCCATGAGATGGTACTTTCCCTATCTGCCATGCAGATACGGCCTATCCTGCTGCTTGGGTTTCTGCCTTGGCTCAAGCTGCCCTGCTCCAGCATTGAGTATGAGGCAGGGAATGGGGGGAGACACCCCAGGGAGTTTTATTTCTGCTGGAGAGCAAAGACAAGACTCTCAGAGGAACTGTGCTACTTACCCCCCTTACCCACTTTTCCTGCCAAAAGGTCCATGACAAAGAGGAGCAGTGGCTTCATCCTCTACTGCTGAACTGCATGCTCCCATCTTTAATAATTGACACGTTTTGTTATTCTGCATCAGAATGTGTGACTCAGATCTATGAAAATACATACTTCCAAGGTGGAGACCTCACTACGTTTTTTACACCGAGTGCCAATTACTGCCAAATAGTGTGTACTTACCATCCTACCTGTCTGTTCTTCACCTATTTGCCAGCAACATGGACTAAAGATCCTGCAAAAAGGTAGGATGTTCATGTACATGTCTATTTTGCTGGCCTCCCGTGATAATTTAGAAACTTGGTAACATTTTGACAGAAC